ATCTGGCAACCCATGGCAATATCAAACCCTGGCAAAGCGCATTCTCAACGAATTGCATCTGTAGTGGCGGAGGCGATGCGGCACCCTCCACGCCTGTATGTATAGGAAATATGCACAAAGGAAATATGTCTACGCCCCCGTCGCGTCGCCAGCGCCGCGGTCTCGTTGCTTTTGTCGTCCTCCAGACATGTCTGCGATTGAGCTCATTAATCCCCGAGCGGAGTCAGTGCGGCGACTTCAAGCTTTGCAGGTCAACATAGCAGGTGCCATTGGCCTGGCTCAGGTGGTGCGCTCCAATCTGGGTCCGCGTGGCACGCTCAAGATGCTAGTGGATGGCTCTGGCAACCTGAAAATGACCAAGGACGGCAAAGTTTTGCTCACGGAGATGCAGATCCAGAACCCTACTGCGGCCATGATTGCACGTACTGCCGTTGCTCAAGATGAACAGTGCGGTGATGGTACCACGAGTGTAGTGCTTCTGGTGGGCGAGCTTCTGAAACAAGCCGAGCGCTACATTCAGGAAGGTGTGCATTCGCGCGTCGTGTCGGATGGTTTTGATGTGGCCAAGGCAGGAGCCCTCCAATTTCTTGAGGAATTCAAGCACAAGATGAACCCTGACCGTGCTACGCTTGTGGCGGTGGCCAACACGGCCCTGGCTACGAAGCTTGCACCTAAGTTGGCCAAACAGCTGGCGGACAGCGTCGTTGATGCGGTCCTTGCTATCAAGCCTCGTGCCCCTCCCTCCTCTGAAGTACCCGCTCCCAAAGAGGATGGCAGCTCGGAACGTGTGGATGAGTGGGTTACTCGCAACCCTATTGATTTGCACATGGTTGAAATTATGAAGATGCAGCACAAGAGCGCCACTGATACGCAGTTAGTGCGTGGATTGGTCATGGACCACGGTGCACGACACCCAGACATGCCGAAGCGTGTGCGGAATGCATATGTGCTGACACTCAATGTCAGCCTGGAATATGAGAAGACGTACGTATCTTCACTCTAACCAGCAGGGAAATCAACTCGGGCTTCTTCTACTCTTCGGCTGAGCAGCGTGAGAAGCTGGTCGAGTCGGAGCGACGCTTTGTGGATGCGAAGCTCAAGAAGATCGTTGAACTGAAGAATGAAGTTTGTGACGCCGATGCCAACACCCCCGAGTCAGAGCGCAAGTCATTCGTCATTTTCAACCAAAAGGGTATCGACCCAATGTCGCTGGATGTGCTTGCCAAGAATGGCATCTTGGCTCTTCGTCGAGCGAAGCGGCGCAATATGGAGCGTCTCCAGTTGTGCTGTGGAGGCGTGGCGCAAAATAGCGTCGACGATCTTTCGCCGGAGGTACTGGGTTGGGCTGGTCTTGTTTATGAGCAGACATTGGGCGAGGAGAAGTTCACCTTTGTTGAAGATACGAAGGATCCGAAGAGTGTTACGCTTCTGATCAAGGGTCCCAACACGCACACTCTCAATCAAATCCAGGATGCATTGCGCGACGGCTTGCGGAGCGTGAAGAATTCCATCGAAGACGGCGCGCTAGTTCCTGGCGCTGGCGCATTCGAAGTGGCCGCCGCCGCACATCTTCTGGACAATGTTCGCCGCACGGCCAAGGGTCGCGCAAAGCTTGGCGTTGAAGCATTTGCACATGCTCTTATGGTCATTCCAAAGACATTAGCAAGCAATGCTGGCCTTGATATTCAGGATGCCATTGTAAACCTGCAAGATGAATGCGCTGAAGGTCATGTTGTGGGCCTGGATACCCAAACTGGCGAGTGTATGGACCCCGTGAGCAGCGGCGTTTGGGACAACTATCGTGTGAAACGCCACATGATTCACAGCAGTGCTGTCATTGCTTCGAACTTGCTCTCTGTCGACGAAATTTTGCGTGCGGGACGCAGCTCGCTTAAAAATGATGCGTCAGGTCCGTAGAGTAGAACCAAAATTGCCTGGGCTATCGTGGACAGCGCTCCCCTAAATACAGGGACCTCCACCCGGTGCTGGCCCGAACAGGCGACCTGCATACGTTTGCCAACCGCTATGACCAGCCGATTCGGTCTTGGACGGGAGGGTATGGGACCGTCTCTGCAGGTCTCCTATACCCTTCCTCCTCTTATATCTCTCAAAAATGATCCTTCTCGCAGGTATCTTCGAGGCGAAAACCCTTCGGTGATGCGATCATTACCCATCCTCGAACTGCCTCCCCCGAAACCAACGCACTCTTCCTACGTATCAAAAGGTTTGTCTACGCCTCGTGTGAGGCGCTCTCAGAAACCTATCGTCGAAGCCAACGGCACTGCGTTGAGTAATGTTCAAGAGCAGCACATGCGTCCTGTCAGTGCCATGAAAATGTCTTCAGAGGACCAATCTACCTTCCTTTACAGCGCGGGCATGGACGGCCTTGTTTGCCAATGGGATATTGGTTCTTTAGATCGCAATTCAACTCCGCGGCTAGTGCAAAGCGCTCGTCCGCACCGAAATTGGATTTGGGATATGGCCCTCTGCCGCGGACAGGAAACTGTGGTCACCTGCTCGTCCGATTGCACCGTAAAGGCTTGGAACGCAGGTATAGATGGCTCGTCGTACGAGCTAGGAGCTCACGGAGACTTTGTCAAGGCACTCGCTTCTGCGTCTGCTGCAGAATGGGTGGCAAGTGGGTCCCTCGACCGCACCATCTGCCTCTGGGATCTCAAGGAAGGTCGCCAAGAGCCCATGTGGCGAGCGAAAGCTCCGGCCAGTATTTATTCTACGGCCTGCAATTATACGGGAAGTGTCACAGCTACCGGTGGTGTCGACCGCACCATTCATGGGTGGGATCCTCGCATGCGAGACTCTACCTTCCAGTTGTTTGGGCATGATGACAATGTTCGCACAATGTGCATGAGCCCAGACGGTCGTTACCTATTGTCAGGCTCCTCCGATACAACGGTGCGCCTATGGTCTGTCGGTGAACAGCGTTGCCTTCACACGTTCATGTACCACAATAGCAGTGTGTGGAGTGTGCACTCCAACGACTCGCAATTGACCACGTTTTATTCCGGTGACCGGGATGGCTTTTTATGCAAAGTGGACTGGAATCACAGCAAAGATCTGTCCGAGGGCCAGTGTGTGCTTGTTGCTCAAGAGTCCAGCAGCGAAACCGGCAGCATGCCTAGTATTCTCAGCATTGCAGTGGATGACTCACACCAGACTATTTGGACATCCACCATTGCGTCATCGGCATTCCGTTGCTGGAAAGATGTACCTCTCAAGTCCGATCGCCCACTTTCGAGCGATGGCGGCCCATCCAATGAGCCTGACATTGCACTGCAAAGTCAAGTGAATCTAAAACCTATGCGCAATGGTGAGATGCTCTCCAGCCCTATAACCTCGTCCAACCATCCTCTGGCATCCCCGGCATATATCCAAAAGGAGGACGACACTGCATTGCAACCGCACGATTCTGCTGATGAGGCCACACCTGTGTCCTCGTCTCCACTTGTTGAAGTGCCTGGGTCGCACGGCATCATTCGGGCATGCATGTTGAATGACCGCATGCACGCTTTGACGATCGACTCCGGCGGCATTGTGGCTCTATGGCATATTCCCAAGGCGAAGTGTTTAGGCACCTTTGACAGCGATGCATTGCAGGCAGTGGCGCGAGCCCAGCAGCGCGGTGAAGACTGGCTCCCTCAAGATAAGCCCAGTGACACGCTTGAAATGATCCAAGGAATCATCGAAGGGGATGGCGTCACTCAATCTTGGTGCTCGTTGGATACATCCACCGGCTTGTTGACTGTCTACATCGACGAAAGCCGTGCTTGGACGGCGGAAGTGTATGCCGATGAGTTTAATATGGATGTGGTCTCTGGAGAGGAGCAACCTTGGACGGAAGATCGTGTGGTTTTGGGTGTGTGTGTGCTGCGCAACTTGTTCCGTGGTCTCCTGATTGCAGAGGCAACGTTGCATCCCCCAGACAACAACGACGGTGTTCCGCAACTGGCAAGGTGGCTAACCATGCTGCAAGTAACCCCTGAAACGCTTTTGCACATGCCGCTTTCACAACTTCCCAATGCCCCACAAAGTGACAATATGGAACAATCTATGCACTCTATCATGGCCCATATGACAGGCACCTCCAAATCTCAAGCTATGGCCACTGTCCCTTCGCCATCGCATGTCACAGACTCACCTCTTGAGACGGCTTTGCTGCAAATGCTCGACAAGGTATTAGCCCACTTTTCCCCGGGATCTGCTGGAACTAGTCCCACTTCATTGGATTCCAACGGCTCTTTGCTGAACGGACTGCGTCGTGCGAATCAAAAGCAACAACCACGCCTAGATTTGACAGCCAAATCTGGTTTTATGAACTTTGAGCAGGAAATGAATATACTTCAAGCTATTCTTCAAGGACCACGTCGTTCTGTACCTCCTTCACCAGGCACGCCGGGCATTTTCTTCGCGGATGGAATGCCTGTGGAGCTACTTCAAGATATCAGCCAGAGCGGCGAGTTGAAGGTAGCATACCGAGGCTCCGTGGAGTCTATTGGTCGCGACACACCCCTCTTGGAGCTCTTGGCCCCTATGTGGCTCCTTCAAATCCTATTTGTGCGACAAAATCCAAACAAGGAACTTCCGCGGATCAAGGTATATTTGGAGAAGTGGGCTCCTGCTCAGGTGAGTGGCATGGAATCCATGACACATGCGCTGGAAGTACCTCAACTGTCTACGAAGTACTCCAGCGTAACAACACCTCGTTTGCTGCGTGTCGGTCGGATTGCTGAATATGTGTACCAGTCTCTGATGGCATCGGGTGTACAGGCACCCTACGCCTACCAGAGCACATCTTCGATGGATGTGCCCATTGATATCATGTGCCGAAACATGGTTCTTCCAAATCGATACACATTGCTGCAATGCCTGCGTCATTGCACGAGAAGTGGGGGAGATACCATTCACCTGGAGTATAGGTGGAAGGCACCTGCTTTGTAGCGTGTTCTAAAGAGCAAAATGAAACGGTGCACTACGATCTAATCGGGCACATAGCGGAGTGGTTTACCGCATCGGTTTTCGGTTTCGACTGATTCCCGAAGGTCATGGGTTCGATCCCCATTGTGCTCTCTTTTTGTACCTGGCTAGTTTTGGGCAGAGCATGGGATTCTAAGGAACTACGCCACGGCTACATAATTCGCGGGCACCAAAAGGCACTTGTCTTTCCGCATGATCAACCACCAGTTCTCGTCGCTCTGGTCCACCACTTGTAGCACTTCTCCCTCTTGAAGAGAAGCCTCTTCTGGTGAAGAGGCTTCGTAGTCGTACAGCGCTTCCGCTGCCACAACGGATTCCACGAGCACGACGTAGGCGGTAGGAATCAGTCCTTTTACGTCTGGTGTGGATACCAATGAGCCATATGTCCAATCACCTTCCATAGACGCGCCATCGAGCTTGGGGTGAATCAGCAGGATGGAGTTCTCATCAAACGAAAGCGTGCCTTCTTCGCCGGTGAAAGCATATAGCGCGCGGCCATGAAGAGTTCGGCTTGTATCGAAGCCCATGAGCACATCGTCCTTCATCTCTGCACTAGGTTCTGGAGCAGACATGTCTTGCAAAGACAAAGCATTCATGGTTGGTTCTGCTTCCTCGTTAGGTTCAGCAAATCCACCTGGCACTGCCATGGGTTCAACACTCTCAGGCTCGTCATCGCTACTGTCCATCACTGGTACAGAGGCCGTGGATAAACCTGGGGGCGGCGATGATGAACCCAACACTGATCCAGCTGTCAAAGCACCCGACCTATCCCTCGTCGTCGTCTTCTTCAACGTTGCACCTCCCCGGATCTGCGACAAAAGCGCATTACGATCACCCCCGCTTCCGCCTAAAGATAATGATGGCCCTGTAGTGGATTGCGTCACTGCATCAGCAGACGCCGGGGCATCACCCTTCAAGTCAGAGTTAGCTGGGGCAGCAGGTGGTGCAGGAGCCACCGGTGGGGGCGGAGGCGCCGAGGGAGTCGAAGGTGTCGTCGGCACAACGCCACTGAAAAGCTGCTGTGCTAGATGCTGGCGAGTAGTTCGAGAGCTTAAGGGATTCTCTTCTTCATCTTCGTCTTCTTCGTCATCCCAATCTTCGTCATGAGATGGCGGCAAGTGAACGGTACGGGTGGATGAGGACACGGGTGGCATAGACCTCTGGGGTTGAGGCGGGGCGAGCGGCTGTACAGGAGCTTGACGGAAGCTCGTCTCTTCCTTCACTTCGGGTTCTGCTTCTGGTTCCTGAGGTGGGTCGAAAGCGGCAGTAAATGATGATGGACCTGTTTCGAGCTTCGACGAGCGTGTTTCAGACGCTTGCCGGAAGAATGGGTTGGTGGAAGGCATTGACTGAGACATGGACGGGGCTTCGGGCATCGACGTGGGCGCAGGTGAGGGGACGGATGCAGGAGCGGGTGGATCTTGCGGCACTGGGTCAGACGCCGCCTCACGCTCTGGCACCTGATTGGACTCAAGGGGGTGGTTCTCCTTTGGCAGCCATGGCTGTTGCGTATTTTCTGGCGGGACTGACACGGGCTCAGCCACGGAAGGAGGCTCTTCCTTTTGAACCTCCTTCGCGGGCTCAGACATCCTGGTTCGAGCAGGGGGGGGTGGCGGCTGCTTGTGCTCCCGGAGACGCGCCTTGCGTGCCTCCTCACGAGCCTTGGCCTCCTGCTCTGCTTGCAGCGTCCTGGCTTCTGCCTCACTTTTTTCAGTGGCAAGTCGTTGCTCCACAGAAGCATCCACAGAGGGCGTCTTATCCACGGCGCCAGCCACGCCTAGCATGCGCATACGCTCTTGAACACGACGCTGAGCTTCTGAGCGAATCCATGCCTCGCGTTCAGCGCCCGTGAGTTTTGGCGCAGAGGGTGCAGATATCGAAGGTGTCGACGGCACGGATGATACTGGCGTTGGGGGCTCGGATGGCTCAGCTTTCGGTGGGTCATAAGATGAAGTACGAGGCGTGGATGGTGACGGTGCACGAAGATGCGAATACTTGTCATTGTTTCGAGCATCACGTTGGCGACTTGCTTCAAGCTCTTTCTTGGTGTCATGCGCGTGACGCTTGTCCAGACGTTGCTCCAGTTGTGGCAGACGCTCATGAAGAAGTTGCATAAGCGTGCGTTCCGCCTTTCGCCGTTGCTCTCCCGCATGGGGTCCTTCACGACGATTGTAGTACTCGATATCATCTTGGAGGCGGCGAATGGCATAACGAACATCTTCCATCTCATTTTGCAGATCATGATCTTCTTCTTCATTCAAATCTGTACGCTCCAACATACGCTGGGTCTTCTCCAACTGCCTCTTCATCTCGCCAAGATCTTCAGCGGCACTCTGACCATCGAAGCGGACATCCCTGCGGTCCAGGTAGCGACTTCGGCTTCTGTAACCAGCAGAATCAGACTCTCGGTGTTTGTAGGCAACAGCATCGCTAGGTCGACTCGCATCTCGTTCCACGGGATTTTTGTAAAACGAGCGGGTTTCCGAATATTTAGCATCCTTGTTAGAACCCGGCTCTGCCAAGTTGAGCGCTGTGGCATTGCGAACAGTCGTATCTTGTTTGAGTAGATCCTTCAAGAAATCAACACTTTCACTCAAGTCACGCGAAGAAGAAGGAATAAGCTCTGCTGGAAGCTCTTGGGGGATTTCGTTGCCATTCAGCGCACGATAAATCAAAGCCATGGCAATATGGAACTCGGCGATATTCAATTTGCCACGATTTTCAGCATCCGCGAGATGCCACACCTGAAGCAACTGCTCACGAGAAAGTCCACTCTGTCCGAATAGCTCACGAGCAACGTCTCCGCTAATCCAGCCTGTCTTCTTTGCGTCCCACGCGCGAAATATATTGTCATAGCTCTTTCGCTCTTCCTTGCTCATCGTCCAAGGAATCGCAGCCTTCGCTTTGTTAGGCTGTTGCGTAGAGATATTTTGGAGCTTGTTTTGGAACTGATCCGGCTGCAAGCTAGCTTGATGGAAGTTCATATTCGAGGGGACTGGTACGCCAGAGTACGGTTGCGCAGCAGGCAAGAATTGCGTATACATCAAACGCATGCGTGGATCCGAGAAAGCACCTGTCATCTGTGCAGCCATAGGCATGCCAGTGGACTGGCCCACCATGGGGGACATTCCTGTGGGTTGGCCCATCATAGGGGTCATACCTGTTGGCTGGCCCATCATCGGAGGCATACCGGTGGGCTGACCCATCATGGGTGGCATTCCCGTAGGGCGCTGCTGCATCATAGGTGACATTCCCGTGGACTGTGGCATCATGGGTGACATCCCTGTAGCTTGTTGTTGCATCATGGATGGGGCGCCCATCGCTTGTCCCATCATGGACCCAGTCATTTGAGACATCATGTTAGGCGGCGGCGGCGGCGGTGCTGATGGACGTGCGATAAACGATGCGCCAGGCATTCCTGTACTTTGCATGTTCATGGGCATTTGTCCAGTCATTTGAGGCTGCTGGTAAGCACCATAGCCTGGTGCCCCTGCATTGCCCCATTGATTCATAGGGTACATGGTACCACAACGAGGCGATGCACAAGCTCTCAAGCCGTGCGCCAGAGGTGCCCACCGGTAAATCACGTGCACCCATAGTCGCAACGACATCCATGCACGGGCCTGGCCGTGTGCTCGACGACCACATGGTGAAATACTTGATCGGCCGGTATGTTGCTATTCACTCATTATAGCATTGCCGACCCCATTTTTGGTGCGGTGACAGGCATCGCAGCCTACATCATTTGGGAAAATGATCCGCGGAACGCACATGACCATGGAGAAGGAAACTCATTGCTGGACCTAATCAGCCGTCGTCTACACATCGAAAACCCGCTCCGAAAGGTGACAAGTTCGCTGGAACCACAGCAGCCATCCCGTTCGGCTGAATCGGAAAAGAAATTGATTTAAGCTTTATCTACCTGGTAAAGCCTTACCCAAACTGCAGTAAGCATGGTGCGGCGATGCCATACGTACAGGTAAAAGATGGTGCCAAGGAAGCGGAAAAAGGCAAGACCTGCCACAGCGTAAAACAGGATAGCCATGTATATGTTATGTACCTCGCGAGGTAAATTCATAATAGCCACAGACAGTGCGGCATTGGTCAAGGTCCACGCCAGTAGTACATTTGTGCGCACAGCCGCATAGTAATCCTTTTGTTCTAGGTCCAGGTCACGAACCGCTGGCGTAGCCTCTGGCTTGGATGCAAGCACATGACATGCATCTTCATAAGCTGCATCGATGTCCTGGGCCTCGGTCGGTAGCGTCACATTGACAGCGTCGCCAGATGCATCCACAGCTTTTCCCAGGTCTGACTTGGTGCTTGTCGAGCCTTTCGTGCCCCATGACACATCATGTATGTTGGAAAAGGCATCTGTGATGTCAGGGAAAATGACGTACATATATTAATCACATTAATAAAGCTTCCTGTCAGTAGTCGGCGTGCGTACCTGGGCGACACAAGCAGGAATTGGAGCAAGCTTGTGAGCAAATGCCATGGGTCAAGCTAATGGTCAATGGATGTCCACGTACGAAAAGGATCGAAGAGATGAGCCAGATCCCAAATGTGCTCAACAAAGATACAACAATCCGGATAAACAATCCATCAGCAATAATTTGAATCCCGTTGTTCGTGTTCACTTCCCTTTTGACGCTGACGTAGGCAAGATAGACAACAATCACCATCATATACATCATAAGCAACGCAAATACAATCATAGCAAGTAGATATCCATTTCTGTTTCCTTGAGGTCGATTGCCCATTGATAGCAAAAAGCAATAGATCAAGAAGGCGAGATACACGTACTCACATATCACAGAGGGTATATGCAACCAGTGCACAACATCTGTCATAGATTCGGCCAAGATGTTAAATGTGAGATAGTAGTTTGCCAGTGAAAACCAGGAAAATAGTAGTTGTATAACCTGATAGATCATTTCAACGTGAAGAACCGTTTTTCGAATGAAAGAATGGTTGGAGCGGTAAATGTTGTTGAACTTGATAATAGAGTGGATAGCAGCAAAGAAGGATCCGTTCAGCCAGCGCCTGCGCTGGGATATGAGCTCGGGAATTTGTGTGGGAACATCGGTTTC